AGAAACAAGTCACGTTTTTTAATGTATGGTTGGAAGGCACTCAAATGCTGTGGTATGAGAACAATGCAGTGTCTTGAACAGACCACTCTGCACTGGTTTACTACTTCCATGCAGACTGGAGTAGCAGTACAGCTGCCCCATGTAAACTGTAGCATGTGTTGGAGCTCCCAACAGGAAGCTGATTGAGTGAAATCTTAAAGGATAAAGGAAGTAAAACAGGCCATTTTATACACCCAGTTGGGGAGGGAAGGAGGGAGTTACTTTTTGTTTCTGTTTTTAATTGGAAATTGCTAAAGGCTAAGGTTGAAGCTTGGAGAGTACTCTTCTTATCCTCCTGTTGTGGGTTTGTGATGGAAATATGAGAGCTGCCACATCCCAGCCAGCCCTGCATCCATCCACAACAATCATAGTTTTCTTCAATCTCTTCTCCAGTTCTCTGTCCAGTCAGGTTTCTCTTGTGCTGAGGAAGGATGCTTTTGCTGCATCCCTGGGACATGTGGTCTATAGCTTAACAAGGAGGGACTTTTGGATATCGGACCTAAATTTTCCTCTGCTCATTTTCTAACCTAAATTGCTTCCTTGTATTTACACTTTGCCAGTACTTGTCATCTCTGCACACCCTTCAGTTGCAGCTTGGCCAGTGCATAACATGCTGAATTCTTAATTTCTTGCTTCCTAAGTGTGCATGTGGAACTGATTAAAATGAAAGAGGTGGGTGTTATGTTTGGGTGCACTGATCAGGGAATATGTAGGCTTTTCTTTTTCATCTACTAATTAAAGTATATTCTTGGCCAAAAGTTAGCAGGGAAAAATCCAGTTCCTCGAAACCCCTTGTTCACCTTCAGTCTGTATGGAGTTGCAGGGTGGAGGTAGCTGCATGGTAATGACACAAGCTTTGTGCACACAGAATGAAAATGTGCTTGCCAGACTTAAAAGGGCTCTTCAGAAGCTATAAAATTGTCAGCAGGTGGGGGGGTAGGTTGTTTGGGTCCTCTGGGCCTTACTGAAACAGTTTTGTGCTGTACATGTGTATGTCACAGCTGCTTTCTCTTGGCTGTTCCCTTTGCAGGATTTGGAGCACCATTTGGGCCTGGCACTGAATGAGGTTCAGGCTGCAAAGAAGACTTGGTTCAACCGAACATTAAGTTCTATAAAAACAGTGACTGGAGTCCAAGGGAAAGAGACTTGTTGAAAAGCAAAACTCCGTCAAATGCATCTTCTTAACAACACCTTTTGTTGCCTTCCTTGGCCAGATGTTTAATTCTGTGACATGTGAGAGGACCAGAATGTACATAAAATAGAAACACAGCATGTCAGGATTTCAATAGGTCAGTGATAAAGTGGATGGAAACACAAAGGCTTTATTGCTAGACACGGGATCTTCATACTACTGATATTTAACAGGTGATGTAGCTAGATTGAAGCTCTTCAGAGAAACACTCCATTCTGCGGTCTGGCTGGAGGCTTTTCACAAACTAGGTACGAGAACTTACCAAACCCTAATTGTTAAGTTTACATACAATAGGTTTTTTTACAGTTATAACCTTTTTTAATATTTTATTTAAAAGGAAAAAGTGTCACTAACAAAGCAAATAATGACTCTTAGCAAGAACTATATCAGTGCCAGAAAGTAGTCCCCAGAGCTAGGATTTGGAGAGCGGGAGGTGACATGCTTTACGAAGGGGGGTGGTCTCAGCGCTCCTGTCGGAGCAAGCCCATTTTGGTTTAACATGCGTGCATCATCCATCTCGTGGTGTCTTGCCATTTCTTTCTGAATTACTACTCAATTCTATGCAACTGGGCTTTTTTAGCCTGGGCTGCCAACCAGATTCACAGCCCTAGGTTGGGAGACTTGTCAGAGTGCTAGACGAGAAAATCAGAATGCTTGACAAATTCCGTTTTACTTCTGTGTCATATTGTTTGAGCCGCGCTCATCAACAGCATTTCAATCCCAACACCAGGACTGCTAATACGAGCTAATCATGTGGATGTTTTGTCGTTTAATTATGTCCTTCTGTTCACTTTTGTCTGTTTTTTCGTTTTCGTTTTTAACCTGGCTGTAGCAGGCCTTCTGTGAAGTTCTGTAAGGGCTTCCAGAATTAGTTTTGCACATATGTATGAATGGGACAAAGAGACAATAAACTGAGATATATTTGAGAGGCAAAAATCTGCGTGAGTGTAGCTGCAAACATCCATAGCTGTGTGTCGTAACTGGCTTTTCTGGTAACATGTATGGAGGTTCTGTAGGTCATTTTTTCCATGCTTAATGCAGTTGCACTAATCGGTGCTAAACTTACTTGGATTTCTCATCTTTTGGATTGTCCTGAAGTTCTCACCAGAAAGCTGTAGAATGGAGTTTTGCACCTTGTAATATTTTTAATTTATAATGGTTTGTGTTATGCTGAAGTATCTATTGCATCAGTGGATAAATTTTGTGTGCAGTGTGAGTATAAGCTGGTAACAATAAGAGGCACTGGTTTGTATATAAAGATATTTGGTTTATTTTGTATTTCTACCTTTTTCTTGTTAACTGTACTAACGCTAGCTAATGTACTCTGTGACTACAGGATATAACATGCTATGTCCAAGCTTTTTTCCTTAATTGCGTACATTATCTTTATTGTTTAATACCAAAAAAAACCCAACAACTGTAACTCCATCAATATTAGATGCGTGGACATTGTGGTAGCATAGTTGCAGTGTGTATACTTTATGAATTGAAATATAAACTAGTAAAATTGTATTCCTATTCTGTTGTTTCATTTCATTTCAACAGTGAATTAAGTATTTTGCAATAAAAAAAACCAGCTGTTTTTAAAACAAAAGGTTTAGCATCTGCAAACCTCTCCTGTGGCCAGAATCATAAGGGGGATTTTTAAAAGAGAGACTGTTCTTAGGGTTGCCAAAAATCCTCCATGCCTCAATGTGATTGTACTCTGCAAAGTGACTCTAAGAATGGCCTTGTTTGATCTCTTTGCTCATGGCTCAGTGTTTTTTCACACCAGATATTGTTAGTTTACAAGTAAGAACGTTTTCTCTGCAGCCCACTATTATTCCACCTGCATCTGAGGAACAGACTGGGGTTCTTTCTGGTTGGTTAATTTGTACCTGTTAACACGACTTCCCCTTGACAAATTCTACTCGCACAATCTTCACTGGGGTGCCCATTCATAACAGGACAAAATCCAGCTGGACCACTGGCCGGTTGCATGCATGAGATCTCAGAACAGTTCAGGGTTTCCTACCTACGTGTGTTGCAGGGATAAGAGAGATTATGTATTTTTGTTACTGAAATGAGTATGGGCAACTGAAAGTGAACCTACTCCAGAAAGGTATTAGTACATAGCTGCTTCCCATGACCATCACTGTGCTTTAAGACAAGGGCATCATAAGGTTGCCTATATAGTATTTTTGCTTTGTCTTTCACAGAGTTGTCTCCCCGGATGAGGTCAGCTGGACTAGATTAAATACTAAATATGAGGAGGAGGCAGGCGTTTTAAGATGTGGAGACTAGATACACACAAACGAAAGGCAGCGTGAACAAGCAAACCGAAGAAGAAACAATTTGGTGTGTATTAGTTAGAGCTACTGTAATAGAAAGGACTTGACTGACCTGCCATGGTAAAAGCAGTGGGCACAGTTGCTGGTCACTGTCCCTTTTATGGTGCTACTGAAATGGTTAATTATGGGCTGAGTTAGGAGTCATGCCTCCCTCCTGCCCCCACCATGCATACTGTCCACCTCAGCTGCCCATGGGCACTGAATGCAGAATCACTGCAGTTCTCTTGCTGAAACCTTTTGTGCTCCAGACACGAGTCCCTAAGTTACGTTTGCAGTGTGGGACCTCTAGATCACTGGTTTTGCAGTCAGAATGAGTTTTATGGCAAGACTTTCAGCACCTAACTACTGAGGGTTTATATGGTGAACGTCCAGAACTTGCACTTCACTTAGTTTGACAGGTCTTCAGGTTTCTCCTCCAGGCCTCCTGACACACGCTGTTCTTTTTTCAATAGCCACCTGCCAACATTTTCCTATATCATTTTTTTTTCCCCTCTTCCTTTTCAGCTGTCCTTGCTGTCTGGAGTGCTGATGTAAAGTTTTCACTGTGGGGAGGATTTTTTCCATCTGTTCAGCAGCTTAACTTCTCTAAAATATATAACAACCTGAACAAAGTATGGCACATATGCATATGCAAACACTCTTTGCTTTTTATTGTAAATGGTATCCTGCCTCAGTCAGATTTTCTTTCTCTAGTGCCTTGAGAAGCCAGGCATTCTGCATATAGCTCTCAAAATGGAGCTGGCATTCAAAGCTCACCATAGAGATGTTCCTGTATTCAACCCATGAGAGGCCAAGGGGCAAATAAGGGTACCTTTTGGGTAGGGTGGTATGGTTCCTGGTGAGAAAGCATGTGCTTTTGGTGTAGGATTGCATCTGCTTCATGTACTAAAGCAAACACATGTGAATCACTGCCGTGCCCCTGAGAGTCAAGAGGCCTTATGCACTACGTGTTCTCGCCTAAAGCTAGGCTTGAATGGGACTGAACTCCTGACTTACAGCTTGAGATCTTTCTTGGCAACTGCTCATCCAGGCATCTGGCTGCCAAGAGAATAGAGACACTAAACCAGCAACGGCAGGCTGTATGCCTTTTCAGCCTGTTTTTCCTCTGCTACTGCAACTGGAAGGAGGAGAGGTGAGTAATAGATGAGACATCCTTCCAGAAGTCCAGTAACTTACTACTTTTCATCTTGCTTTAATGCTGTGTTTATCCAAATCTGTTCACTGGGATCTACAACTTGAACTGGCCCTGGAAGTGGTTCTCATTGACATAAATCTTGTTCCCATTATTAGCTCCCTGAATACTGTGCAACAGACACCTTGTCTTGCCTGGATTCCTCTCTAAAAGCAAGTTATGCTTCTCTAGTTGAAGCCATGGAGAGTGGGGAGCACCACTTGCTTTGGTCACTGTGCACGTCTGGTCATTCAGCCTTATGGAAAGGGCATGTCTACACCTGTGTTGACTGAAGTGGTTTGAAGAATCTGTCCTGTGTCAGGCTTATTCAAAGGTTCAAATCGGAGCAGCTCTGGGGGCAGACGATGCAGATCTGGCAACAGGCATCTTTGGCTAATCCCCAAGTACCTGCCCTATAAACAGTGTAGATTTGGCCTTGCCCGTGCTTGTACGCAAGTGAGGAGCAGGCAAGCAGTCCCTTGCCTCCTGCGGCCACGATGCACCGTGCAGGGACTTGGCCACTTGGGTGTCAGGTTTTAGGCCATCATTAATAGCCCACGGCACATTGTGTCCCCAGGTTTCTGTGGGGGCGGGTGCCACGGTCCCCCCATGCTTCCCTTTGGGCTGCTGCTCTCCATCCAGTGGACTTGGCCTCCGAGCCTGACGGGGCTAGTGGCCGGCACCAAGGCTCGAGTGTCGCACGTATGTGCTAGGCCCTCGGTGCTGGGCTGCCCAGGCAGAACTGAGTGGGCTCCAAGGTCTTCCAGCCTCGTGGAGGGAGGGGGACAGGGGCCTGCGGCAGACTTGGGGTCTTGCTCCCTGCAGTGGGGCCACCACAGCGCCTGGCCCCCAGCACCTGGTGACATGGCGAGGGGCTGAGTGGTGCCCCCATACCCGGAGGCAGGTGGCGGCCTGCAGGGGGCAGCGTGTGGCCCCCCCCCCCACCGACTTGAGGGGGGAGGGGCAGCCCCAGAAACAGGGAGGGGCTCTTGAGGGAGTGGGGGGGGGGGCCAAGGGGGCAGCCGGCACTGCTGTGGGGGCATCGGGGGAAGGCCCGGCCCCTTCCCCGC